GTGTTTTTGGGGTGGTAATTATGCTAATCTCCTCTCGCGTGCACGAGCAGCTGGATAGAACAGGTGGAATTACACTTTTCCTGAAGATAGAAGAGTTTGTTGAATCTGACGTGACATGTTCGTACGAACCCTTTGTACGAACAAAAGTAAGAGAAATTTAGGATAAGAATATGAACATGTTCTTGCATGAGGCCAACACAATGTACTGACATATTTCCAAAAGAGCAGGTATACACAAAACAAACATTTTTTRAAGTGTGTTGATGGAAATTGTTTTGGGATGAAAGCCTATGAGGACACCCAGTGTTGAGTGAGCTYAGAAATTGAAAAAGTATAACCAAATAAATAAATAAGTCAAACTCCAGTACAGGAAAATGTGAGGTCAGATTGAATGGCTTCTCTTTGTCCCATCACTGCAGCAGGACTTCTGATTGTGATGTTATCAGTTCCAGAAATAGCCCGGTGTAGAGAACATACAAAAGGTCCACTTCGTTAGCAGAARGCCTGCCACAGTGACGGACTGCTTCAACTGCTTTCAGCTGCAGAGTTGTAACAGAGAAAAAGCAGAAATAGAAGAGGATTTCAACAMTAAGGGTGAAGCTATAAATAATATCAGATTTTTTTAACGTTCCATCCAAGTGCTCTCTCCACAAAGCTTGGACATTGTGACACAATGGAGAGTAAGCTGCTGTGTGTAGAAAGATAAAAACGAGGAGAAACAATAAAAACAGGATACCAAATTTGTCACAAGGAAACTTCACTAAAATCTGTATTTGCAAAAGACAAAAACATCCAGGGCTTATATTAGGCAATTATGCTGAAGTTGTTTGAAATTCTAAGAAAAATTCTAAARCTTTGTCCAAATTGTTGAATTTGATGACGCGTATGTGTCATGTAGCTAACTGACAAGGTTTCTTTCTTTGTATTGCAGACAATGATGGCTCTTTGCAGCTGCTTGAGTCACTTCTTATACCAAGGTTGCATCCAAAGACGGTGTTTTAATGTGTGACACCAATTCACACAAACTCAGCTGTATTTACTAAATAATAAATCCATCTTCATACTGGATTTTTCAGCCCTATAAAACAGTACAAACCTCTGGACTTTTTGCCAAGAAGCAGGAATTGTGTGTCTTTTTTCTGCTGGTCTGGATGGCCGCTGTCCCTTGGTGCCAGTGCAATAATCAGAACTGACACAGGCACACAGACTATAATCCCCATCGATTAGAAACCTGAGATCAAAGGCTTCCAGTGCCATCACTCTCACATCTCTCCATACTCAGGCTTGTTTCTCTTCTTTTTTTTCTTTTCTTTTTTTTATTGTCCAACCTCTCTTCAACTGTTTTGGTCATGACTCACATTTATATGTTTCTTTTGTGCTGTCTACCTCCTCTTCAGATGCATTATTATATTGGCAGCTAAACTTAATCCAGACACCTCGGTATGAATAAACCAGCTAATGTTAAACTGATTTTTTTCAGCATGATTCATAAGTTGTCCATTTCAGCATCRTTGAGAAGATTTCCTGCCTGACTCRTGATTAATRTGTCAATCACTAYACCTATATTCTGAGCCAACATCATGTAATGTATGCAATRGAGAAATTAAATTATGTTATTTTAGAACTGTTAATACATTCAGCTGTGGTGAATTAATGGATTCAGAATCACAGCTGGCAATGTTGATGGATTATTGTTTCTTGTTTAATGAGTGCAGAAGAAATAAAAACAGTTTAATCAGTGAAAAGGTTGGCTATAAATCAACAACTATTTCCTTTTCTACCCACCCTCTTTCCTCTTCCTAACCTTTAACTAAATTGCACTGCAAAAATATACTCTGAATGTTCTCAAATTAAGAGAAATAATCYGCTGGTATAGTAAGACAATTCCACTTAGTAAGATTTCTCGAAATAAGAAAAATGTCCAGGCTAGCAAGATTAATAATCTAACACATTTTTCTCTTACTTAGTGTATCAATCTTAAAGTGCCTGACATGCCCATCCTTCAAATACAAAATGTCAAAGAAAGCATATTTATACTTAAGAAAATTGGCATAGTACACATGATTTTACCCATTATGCCACATAACTGGCCTATTTTCTTTTACATTTGGCTCAGCCAAAGTGAAACAGGAAGTGACATCAAAGGGGAACTCATTAATAAAATAAACTTGCTGGTCTCTGTTTATTAAAACAAAATTATTTAAACTTTAACTCTTCTTCGTCTCTCTTTGAGAGTGACTAAAAATAGTCTAAAGAAACATCAGATACTTCTCTACAGTCTGTGTTGTTAGCTTTTATAACAATGCTCTGTTTACATGCTGACATTCCCCTTTGACATCACTTCCTGTTTCTTCACATGTCAATATCTCAACAATCGTTCATCTGAGTGACATGAAATTTGTTTTGCTGTATGTTATCAATGTTATCCTTCCAAAAATATATTCATGTTGATTACAAAAAAATTATGTCACAAGCACTTTAAAACAAGATCAAAATATATATGTTGGCTGAATATAAGCTTGTAAGACTTGGTTTTTACATGTATCTCATATTGCTACAGCACAACCTGTTCACCTGTTAACTTTCTGAGAAAAATGTAAACATTTAGGCTCAAACCATCAAAAAACAAGACGTGGTGGGTTGTAAAGTCTCAGAATAAAACAAGATGGACAAGCTCCAATTATTTTTGGTAAAATACCCATCTGACAGTTATACCTATTATTTGCAGGAACATGATTTACATTAGTGTTATTACTGTGATGCTGAGATCAGCTCTGCTTAGAAAATATGATAATATCATGCTTGAAAACAAAGATGTTCCTTTTAAATCAGATGTGACAATAAATTGCTACAAGATGTTCAACTGTTATTTTAGCTTACAAAAAAGAGAACTTCATTAAATTACACAGAGGTAATTAATATGAGCACAACAATGCCATTTGTCCAGGGACTATAAATCACAAGCATGTCATAGTAATCCTGTTARCACAACTACAAGATTTATTTTCATTATCTACATGAAAAAAGAGAAAAATGTGAAGTTGTGTGAACTGAAAAATATCCCCAGGACATCAGCTACACTCCTGAAAATCACTGCTCAAAACCGAAATCTCTGTAAATGATCTCCCTTGTCCAGTGTTTAATCACAACAGGTTTTTGTACCTATTTTGTCAGAAACCACAGCTGAAAATTTAATTAAGTGATGAGGATAGCCAAGCTGTTTATCCCAGGTGTAATTAGGCAGAGCGGTGAATCATGCTCCCAAATCAGAGGCAGCGTTTGAAACTTACTTATCATTGCTTAGGTGGCAAATGCTTTCTACGAGGCATCATCCGTTAAATTAAACAAGGACAGACATTCTTGCACTTTATCAAAGTGAAGGAAGCTAACGTTTTAGACAAGCACCCCTAATCAACTCAAGGGTCCCTTTTTTAACAAGTGAAAAAAAAATTCTTGGGCCTTTATATTTTAAAAAATAATTCTCTACTTTTTTACTTAAAGAAAGCAAACTCACTGCCTAGATTTTAAGACCACAACACTGACCAATGAGCTACCACAGACCTATCTACATCTAACCCTGTGCTCTTTTTGAACTTTAATTATCAGAAAACAAGAAAATACAATAATACAATAACAATAGTACAAAAACACCCAGCAACTAACATGGCTTGGTTTTAATAAATTATTGTACACAGGTCTTCAGCTGTGCTATGACTTTCTTTTTTGTCCAAATAACGACAAAAAGAAAAGAAACTTCACAGAGGGGGAGAGAGAGAGAGAGAGAGAGAGAGAGAGAGAGAGAGAGAGAGAGAGAGAGAGAGAGAG